AATTTCATATTTTGTCTAAGCAATTTACTAGAATTGAGTTTTCATAATTATTTTACACTTTAAAATAGGACTTACGAGCGCTTAAAATTGGACCACTGTACGAGGAAGCCAGTAAGGGGTAAATAGTATGTCACTGTTGAAGTTCCCGTATGATCACCTATCAGAGAACTAACAGCAAACAGCGCTAAGGCGACAACTGAATGATCTACTACTTTACACCATGCCTCCTCAGTACTGTATCTCTTCATAGCAATAAATAAAAAAAATGACAAAATATTATTCAATCAGACCTACTATAGAACAAAAAAATAATGGTGCCAACGTTCAAACGAAAAGTCCCACCCAAATCAAAAAGATAGTTACTTATGCCGCGCTCTATATAAATCAACGCCCTTGACTTAGATTAAGAATTTCGTGCTTATGTGTATTTTTAAAATATTACAATCGAAAATTTACTTTTTTAATTTGTCATGTGATTGCTATTAAAAAAATCAACGCTTAGCCTAAACTATCAATAGAATTCAAATTTTGCATTCAAAATTTGTATTAATTTAATACATTTTTTAGAATTAGCACCTTGGATTTTTCCATAAGTGTTACAGTTATTCAGATAAAAATGAGAACAGTTCTTAGTACCCTTTTAAAATTAAACATAGTATTTTTCACAGCCATAGAAAAATAAAAAAGTGTCTTAAATTTATTTAAGAGTAGTCTAGTCAATAATTAAAATAAAATGTTAAATTTATTCTAGTATTTTTTACTAATAAAGTAATTATGATTATATTGACAACAATTATTTATGTTAACTGTATATAGTCAGTATTACTTTCAAAAATTAAGAATGAATAAATTTAGATTTTTTGGTAAAATTGTACAAGTTATCTTATTATATAATAGAACAAGGAAAAAATTTCTGGAAAAATTACTTAGCGTGCTCGGATTTTCAAAAAATTTTTTTTTAACGAAAGTACTCGGTCATTTTATCTTTTTGTGATAAATTTGTAAGTTTAATAATATACTCTTATTATTGAAGTGTTAAGGACAAAGTTTTAAGCAATAACTTTGAAACATCTGAGTAACCTTTACCATTTTTACTAAGGATTTTTTTTGTCATTTGTGTTTGTTTTACTAATTTTGCATTACACAGTCTACACGCGTGATCTTCAAAAAGACAAATTTGGAAATTCAATTACCAATGTACTTTAATGCTTCTTGAACGTGTAGGTAGTAGATACCAATTGAAAATATTCATTTGTCACAGTGTCGCTTATACACAGAAGCTGCATTCCACAACTTTATTGTTTTAAAGCTTTACAAAATATCGATATTGTAGTTATATAACCACACCTAACAAGCAATAGAACTATAACATTTTATGTGGATGCATCAAATGTTTTTTTTAAAACATAAATCTGTTTACTTAAATTATTTTTTTGTGTAATATAACATCTAACAAGCTACATTAACCCTTAATAACATAATAAGGGCCAATTAAAGTTTTTGAGTGAAAGTACTATAAAAATGTTTTTTTTTAAGGTGGAGTATTTTATATGAAAATATGGATATAACAATAATGAGTTAATGATGGTTCGATAGTGATAGTTGTAATCTAAAAATAATAATGTTTTAATTTTTTTTTATAATAATTTAGGTACACTCGTAAATAAAAAACCCAGCACAGGGGGGTCGCGGCACAGTGGTGACTTGCATAGTTGGGTCAAGTATAATGATATCTGACAATGATTAAAATCACTATCATAAAAAATGCTTCAATGCAAATCTTTAGATAGTGTTTAGTTTTAAAAAATTGGTTGATTATTCCAAAAGCTACATGATCTGCTATTTATTTATTTATATCCTGATTAAGATAAAGTATGTCGAATAAAAGAGGGATATAAATATTATTTCTCATAAAAATAGTATTGATGTAAAATGTAAAAAATAAAATCGAGTATTTTCACACAAAAATAGCATTTGGTTGTCATTTTCACCATAAAGACAAAATAAAGTCCAAAATATTTTTTTCCATAATAATGTACATTACATTAGCTTTAATTTAAGATATATATAAAGTGTCAGACTTTCCGGAACACTTTCAAAAGTTAAGTTAAAAAATTAATTTTTTGTGAAAAAGTTGTCATTTTAAATCCCCTCCTGTGGGCAGGTAAAGGGTCAGATTTATAAAAAAAATATACCCAATGAAAGGCTAAGACATCACGCATCTATACAAAAAAAATTATATTAATCCATACATTTTTTAAAAAGTTATAGCAGTATAAAGTTAAAAATATAAAAAAGAATTTTTTTCAAAAAACGTATTTTTTTTATTAACTTTGATGTCTGTTTTCACTGTGAAGACAAAATAAAGTCCGAATGTTTTTTTTTTCACAATAAAGTATATTTTATTAGCTTTAATCTAAGATATATATAAAAGTGTCAGACTTTCCGGAACATTTTCAAAAGTTAAGTTGAAAAAGTTCTACTTTCTATATGCATTTTTTAGATTTGAACTCCCTCCGTATATAGGGAAATGGTCCGATTTAAAAAAATAAGTATGTCGAATGAAAGATCTATATAAATATTACTTTTCATAAAAAAATTGAATTGATCCATACATTTTTCAAAAAGTTATAACATTTTAAAGTTAAAAATGTAAAATATAAAATCGAGAATTTTAACACAAAAATAGCATACGGTAGCCATTTTCACCGTGAAGACAAAATAAAGTTCGAAATTTTTTTTTCCATAATAAAGTATATTACATTAGCTTTAATTTAAGATATATATATAAAAGTGTCAGTATTTCCGGAACACTTTCAAAAGTTAATTTTTTGTGAAAAAGTTGTCATGTGTGCTGTGGGCTGGTAAAGGGTTAAATTTATAAAAAAAATATACCAAATGATAGGTAAAGACATCATGCATCTATAAAAAAAATTTATATTGATTTGGTCATTTTTGAAAAAGTTATGACAGTTTTAAGTAAAAATAATTGAAAAAATGTTGAAAATTAGCAAGTTTTAAATTTTGTAATTTTTTTGGAGGTTTCCCCCATTTACGGGGACAGAGAGAAATTTTTTCAATTTTTGAGGGTAATGTCTTCGACTAGATACTATTTGTGATCTTTTGACGTATCATTGAAAGAAATCAGTTTGGTGAGAGCTGAAAAAGTGATAACAGACACAAAAAAAAAAAAAACACATCTTAGTACAACCAATACCTTCTCAGCTTCGCATCGAAGCTAAAAGTAAAATCTTTTCTTTTTCAAAAATTATAGAAAATGTTAACACGCAATTGACCTTATTTTAAATGTGATATAATGATAGTGATTATGTCAGCCAGAAACTTTTGAACAATTGAAAGGCCTACCACACACCAGATAACTTATCTTCTGAAACTTTGTTGAAAAACAAAGACTCTTTTTTACAATTTTTGATATGTTAATTTAAAATAAAATGATAACTCATAATAGAAGATTCGACTATCTATGATTACTGTTAACACACTAATTTCGAAATTGCGTAATTTTTCAACAAAAATCGAGGAAAATATATTTTTCTTATTAAATAAAACTTTATTTCATGAGTACAATTTGTATTTTTACTATGTTTCATATGTTAAATGTAAATGAACCAATATGGTAAGGCTCAGTATGAGTATAACTTGATTGGCCCCGTTTTGTACTGGAAATTTATACTGAGGTAAATGTCAAATACTTAAATATTATCAGTACAATAAATAAAATTATAGTTATCTTATAATTATATATCATATATCTTATAATTATTTTAAAAATTAATGTCAAATGATAGGGACAAGTGTCTTCAGTTATATTCATTCTAGTTCAAAGATATGTATAGATTTAATAAGAAAAAAAGATACAACATAAAAATAAATAATTAAATTATACCTTCACTTTTCTTCTAAAATTATTATGAATTGAGTTTTAGTTGCAATATAAAAATTCAATCCATCAATTACACTTTATTACCATATTCATCTGATCATTTAATATATTTTTAAATTTTGTGAACCTCGAGTGTTAAGGATACTTTGTCACAATACAATTTTGGGTGTTTTATTTCTGTTAAAGTAGGTGGACATGGTTCTATTTTACCATTTTATTCTGGTTATTTAATGTAACTGGATATAGTGTTATAGTATAACTATTATATACTGTTAAAGTGCAAAACTATGCAGAGTTACCAGTTAGAAGTATAATACCAGTACACTGAAAACCCCCCTAAAATTATCAAATGTATAACCATAATAATCCCAATATATTTTTTTAAAAATTTCAAAATAATTTTTATTGAAAGAAAAAAGTATCAAAAAAAAAGTTTTTTTACGTAATTTTATGGACATATATTGATGATTGATAATTTTACTAAAGGATTTTTTTTAGTAAACAAAGTAAATATGTACAAGAACATAGATATAGTAATGATACATATTTAATAAATTGTTTATGAACAAGCAGCTAACTCTAATTACAGGTAACTATTTTATGTAACATTAACAAGGTTTTCTTTACCTTCAGGATAAATATTTTTGTTAATTAAATCAATTTTTTAGAAAAAAAAAATAGATATTCCCCAACAATTTTTGCAAATAAGCCATGGTAGACAAATTTCATCTCCTGTTAGAACCCACCTAACATTTTATGCCATTTTTTATGAATGAAACATTTTACAAATTTAATTAAAAATTTTTTTATATTATTTATATCTACTTTCAAAACATAAACAAAAATAATATTGTGGTATAAAAAATAATTAAGGTTATATATGATTACATGTGGTTAACAACAATAATAAACAGTTACAAAAATATAAATAAATAAGAATTAAATTGAAAAAAAATGAATATAAATAATTGAATATTAAAATATGTGCCTTAAATTAATATAAATAAATAAATATATATATATATAATAATAATAAGGAAAAAATTTAACATATTTTTTTTGTTTTAGTACCTAAACAAATGCCAACAAATAATAGTTCATTTTAATTCATAAAACTTTTTTATTTAATGAAATATTATTTTATTAAGCTTAAGAATATACAATTATAATTTTCTTTAAAATTATGCTCCTTGTAAAACTTGAAAACAAGATACACAAACTCTCACTGGTTTAACTAGTCCATATTTAATAATAGGAACTTCTTGGCCAGAACACTTGCTACACAACATTCTACCACAATGCCGACTATAAAATAAAAGTATTTTTTTTAACTCTAAAAGAAAATTATTTTAATTAATTAAAAAATTAATATTTTTAACATCAATGTGTATTACCAATGATGTTTCCTCATTGTAAACCCAAATTTTAATCCACACTCCTGACAAACTTCACATCCTTCCACCCAAGGTGGTTCTTTGGTTAAACTATCAAGTAATCTAATTGTAAAAATACATTAATCATTAAAACATTATACATAATGATATTAAATAGTATTATTTATATGTTTACCTAGACAGTAATTGAGTAGTTGCCATTTGACAATTAAATATAGTGATTCCTTCATTGTTCATTGCTCCAATACAAGCACCTGCTTTTACTAGTGTTCTACACAAATTCCCATTTCCTTTAACGTAGGCCAATAAAAGAGCTACAACAAAACACAATAAATAAAATTTTTAAAATTTGAAAGCAAATTTAATAAAAAATGTAATAGATTATTCTTTTTATTTGTTTACTCTTTAAAACTGTCTAGTTCAATAACCAATTATCTTAATTTTTTTGAAATTTGCTTTTTAATATTTTTTGATAGAGAATTATATTTTCAACCACAATGTACCACAAGTAGGATGTGATGAAATAGATGAGGAAGTGTTTTGGAGAAAGATAGATAAGGTGATGTAAGGAATACCTGGTAATGAGAATGCAGTGATAGTCTGAGATATGAATAGACATGTATGTAATGAGAAGAGAGGATATGAAAGAGTACATAGTATGGTTTTAGTAGGAAGAATTCTGTGATTAATACTTATTTTAGAAAGAGGGAAAAACATTATATAACTTAAGTATTTAGGATCAGTTGTTCAAAAAAACTGTGGCAATGATGAGGATGTAAGACACAGGATTAAGTACAGGTGGTTGAAGTGGATAGAAGCGTCTGGTATGTTATGCGATAAGAAAATTTCAATAAACTGAAAGGTAAGTTCTATAAGACTGTAGCGAGACCAGTTATGATGTATTGTTCAGAGTACAGGATGGTTGATAAGAGAATAGAACAGAAAATGAGAATGATTATATGGATGAGTGGAGTGACTAGAGAAGATAGGATAAGGAACAAACGTTTAAGAGAGTATAGGTGTAGCGCCAATCATAGATAAGGGAGAAAATAGACTTAGGTTATAGAAATTTATGTTGAAGGAAGAAGAGGTAGAGGAAAACTAAAAAAGAGATGGAGGGATGTTATTGAATGTGATATGAGGCCGGTTGATGTGAATGTAGATGATATGGGAGATCGTGTCAAATGGAAGTTTAAGATAAGGGATTCCTGACCCCAAATAGTTAGGAATAAGGCGAGGTAAAAGAAGAAAGAAGAAAGAAGAAGAGAAATTTATTTTCAACCGTTTGGTGTAACTACTGAACATATTTGCTTTCTATAAAAGCTAATATGTAAAGTTTAAAACTCTAATTATTTAGTTTGTATCTTTTAAACAATTTCATAAAATAGAGATAGCTAGTTATTGTAATGGATCATTGATTATTCTTAAAAAGTGTCATAAGAATTCTTAAATATTAAATTAAAAGGCATAAAGCTTTCACTGTATCAACTAAAGTATTACATACTAGTTATATAAAAACCTTTCCAAAATAATTTAATTATAGTCAAAAATATTTAAGATATTAATTATTTACCAGTGTTTCCTTCCCCGTCTTGTACTTCTAGTGGATACTTGGGCATGTATTCTAAAAATACTTCACAAATTGCTGCAGCACTTTCCTTACTATATTTAGCTAGTTCATGTAAAGGATTACGGCCTTTTAAAGTTAAAGCTTCAGCATTTATTTGTGATTCTCCTAACAATGTTTGTACTACACTTAAATGTCCCTCACGGCAAGCAATGTGTAAAGCATTTTGACCTGTAGTTAATTTAAATAATTTTTTAGTTATTCAATTATAAAAATGAATAAAGATTAATAATTTACCTTCACAGTCAACTGCATCAAAATTAGCATTGTTTGTTAATAAAGCAGATATTATAGGGGCATGGCCAGTCTCGCTAGCTATATGTAATGCTGTTCTCTTCATAGTGTCTTGATCATTAACCTGAAAATCAATAATCAGTATATTGTATAGTTTAGAACAAAAATATGAGTATTTTATGATAAATAAATCATACCCTAGCACCAGCCAAAATAATACTGCGAACCAACATTTCATTACCAGATGCAGCTGCTAAATGTAAAGGTGTTGTTTGTAATTCATTTTGAACTCGAGAATTAACGTCAACATTAACAGACAGCAGAAATAAAACACTTTCAATGTCTCCATTTTGAATTGCCATGTGTAAAAAATTGCATCCTTTGTTGTCAAACTAATGGTACATTAAAATAATAATAATAATAATAAAACATTAAATGAAATAGAAATTGTATAATTATAAAGTAATTTTAGCTAATATAATTATTTTCTGATAAAACTCACTTGTTCAGCAGCTGCTGGTAATTTATCTAGTATTGAACGAGCAGCTTTGTCATTTCGACATGTTAAAGCAGCAGCAAATGGAGTAAGTCCAGTACGATCTCTCTTGGTTAAATCAATTGATGGATGACATAATAACAATGTTATTATGCCGCTATGTTGGTTTTTAATAGCAACATGTAATGGCGTCTTATGCTCTGCATCCTATAAAAAAATTTTAACTAGAAAAACTTAAAATATATTTAATTTTTTTTAAAAACTATTTTATGAAATTGATCAATAATTAAAAAGAAAAAAATCATTCTAGTAAAAAAGTGTATTATTATACTACTGAGTATTAGTGGATCCATTTAATTTTCAGACTAGTTTAATCTATTTACTTATTAATATTATAATATAGTAGTTATTTACCCATGCATTAACATTAGCACCATGTTCTAATAATGTTTGAACAACATTTTGTAAACCCCAGTGACAACATAAGTGAAGTGGAGAGGATAGATCTTTTGATTCTTCACCACCTCGGCCACCTGGTCCAGGTTTTCGTGGACTATTTATGTCACAGCCACTGAAAAACAGATAAATAATAAACATAAACTATAATCATATGTAATTTGTACTAATTTTTTACCTGCGTATTAAAAAACGAGCAGCATTTTCAGAATTTTCATCAATTGCTCGATGTAAGAGTGTTTGTAAACAGCTTTCTGGACCTTCACTCCAGGAATCTGTATCAATGCCATACCTAAAAAATGTATAAAAATAATTAAGTGACGTTATTTATATATGATTATAATAAAATCTTCTTAAGTATAAGCTTTATAACTTACTTCACAAGAGTAGATGCAATATCTTCTTGTTCAGCAGTCAAAGCTAGCCAAAGAATTGGATCACCATTTGAAGCTGGTATAGTCATATCAACTCCCCGTTTGCATAGCTCTTCAATAACAATGTTTTGACCACCAACTGTAGCTAATTCCAATGGTGTTTGATCATCTTGAGTTCTAAAAAAAATTGCTAGTTAAATGTTAAAAACATTTTACAAATTGAAATAAAATTATCAGTTAATGATAATGAATATTACTTTGTATCAAAATTAGACCCTTGTTTTACTAAATACAATGCAGTTTTATCATCTCCTTTTAAAATTGCTTGATGAAGAAGGGTCATGCCTTCACCATTTCTCATATCTATATCAGCTCCACCTTCATAATGATATAATATTTTATATAATTATAACTAACTATACCAACATATAATTATAAATTATAACTAACTATACCAACAAATTTTATTATTAAAATTAATAATATTAAAACTTGGTAATAAGACAAAAAAATAGTACCTGCAATAAGATCGGGAACTATATGTTGCATATCAGATTTTAAAGCTAAGGATAAAGGTGTATCTCCTAAAGAATCTCTTAAGTTTAAATTAACAGGAGAAAAATCTGGTTTGGGTTCAGCCAAAATTGTATCTAAAAAAATAACAGATGATAAAAATCAGAAATTTAGCTCAAATAATATGTACATACTGTGATGATGTAAAATAGCATTTACAGCGCCTTCTTGCTTATGAATAATAGCTGTATGCAAAGGTGAAAGTCTATATGAAGTTTGTAAGCCATCATCAGCACTTAATATGATGCTATCAGGGGGTAATGTCTGTAAATTAGGATTTGCTTGAAATTCAAGTAATCGGCGAACTAATCGAGATAATCCTTTTTTACATGCAATATGTAAAGCACTTTCTCCCTGTAAAAATTAAAATTAGATTTATAGTAGTATTATTTTTATTTATAAGTAATTCATTTATGTCTAAAATTTTTATATGAAAATTATAGTGAAAATGAGTGAAAGGATTAAAAGAGAAGTAGGTAGGATTAAATTTTATATTTATAATACAAGGTAATTGTGGAAAGATAATACATGTTTTTAAATAATATATACTTTTCTGTTAGTATAGTTTATATTATTGCAATGGGATGTTATAAAAAGAGCTGCTTCTTCAAGACCTTCTTCAGCTACTATATGAAGCATAGAGTCAGATGTTCTTCTATATATCTAAAATAATTGATATTTTTTACATTTAGTTATTAATTAATTAAGTTTAAATTATTCATGGATATTACTGGATTAGGATTGGCACCCGCTTTAACCAATCGTGAAGCAAAACTATCTTCATTTGTTAGCTTCAATGTATTAATCAACGCATAATATAAAGGAGTATGATCATCTATTGTTTGAGAATTTAAATTAATTTTTCCTGATTGAGTTTGCTCCAATAATAGTGTTAGTATATCATCATTTTGAACAAGTACAGCTAAATGAAGAGGTGTACTAGAAAAAAAATTAACAATTAAAAATACAAACAAAATAAAATTTAATAGCATTCTAAATTTTAATAAATAAAATTCTTAGTTTTGAAATGGAAATAAAAAATTAGAAAGTATATGATATGGTATAAAACTAATTTAATTCTATTTCATAAAAAATGTAATATATTTTTGCTATAATTCGAAGCTGAAAAGGTATTAATTTTACCATGATGTGTTTTTTCTTTAATGATCTATATGTCAAAGGAAAAAAATTTAATATAGTTGAACATATTATAGCCAAAAAAAAAAAACTCAAATCCAGAAGTTTAGAAAAATATATCAAAATTATGATTTGGTAAAAAAAAGGCATTTTTAAAAAATAATAAACATTGATAGACAATATATTGCAATGAAAACACACTTGGCTAAATTTTGGTCATGGAATGTTAATAAAATTTTTTAAAAGTTTTAGATAGGTTTTTTGCACTAATTCTGAATATGTTCTTAGTTTTAACGATTTAATTAATTATAGTAAAAAAATCTACTTAAATAGTAAAATATTTACATAAAACTATATAAAAATATATTAATTCCTTACAAATTATTTCAGTAAATATTAATATATTTGATATCATAACTCTAAGTTTATGTTTATTATTTAATATTATAAAAATAATTTGAAGATTTTAAAATGATTGAGGAAAGTGAAAATAATTCAATATGATCAGTTTAGGTGTTTATAGAAATAGTATTGTAGTTTTTCTTTAAATATTGTAATTTTTTATGTAATAAGAAAAAATTAATATGGATTGATGTGTACAAATATCCTCAAAATAACAATATTAAAATGATAAAGACACAATTTTCTTTTTTTTGGATGGGATCATGTAAAATTTTTAATTTATTTCAGTTTATTGCAGAACAAAATCCTGTTTATGTCAATTACTAACAAATTAATAATTAATATAGTAATATGCTATTACTAACAATCCTTTGCTATTTGGTAAATTTGGATCAAGTCCAGAATGAAGAAGAGATCTTGCTACAGCAGTCATGGCAGCAGCAGTTTCACTACTTTCTGAATGAGGAGAAGAACTTGCAATAAGGTGTAAAGCTGAATTTCCTTGATCCGGAGTAACTGTACTAACTGAAGCACCATGGGACAATAAAAAGTTAGCAGCGTACGAATCACCTCTTTGAACAGCTAAATGTAATAATGTATAACCATTACGGTCACGTAGATCTAAATCTGCTTGATTTTCACATAACATTTCTCCAATACTTGTTTGATGATCACGTAAAGCTAGATCTAATGCCGAATCACCTTTGTAATCAAGCTCATTGATTTTTATTGTCAACTGAAAAAAATTGTTTATTACTTATTATAATACTTGATAAAAATGATATTATGTATAATAGGTGATAGTGTTGGCCTCAAAGATATAATTTTCATTAGGCCCCAACTAAAACAGTATATTGGTAATTGTCATGAGGAGGGAGATTTCTTGATAATGTCTTAAAATTGCAAAACAGTTGGGAACTTTACACCACCACATCCTTACCATTTTTAACATCAATAAGGTCATCTAAACCTTTTGTTTTCTATTTGTTATTTTTTAAGAAACATAATTTTGATTTAATAATAAAAAACATTTTAAACATAAGTAATGTCATTTTCATAAATAAAGTAACACTACTTGAACGTGTAACAAAAAAAGAAAAGGAGCTTAATTAGAAATGTTTTTAATTTTTAATAATGCTTAATTATTGTTAAATATTGATTGACCTATTTTTTTTTTTTTTTATCATTTTACATTAAAAACAAAATAAAAGTTTTAACTGAAAAATTAATGTGTTCGAACTAAAAGGTCATTAGTTTGTATGAAATATTAAGATTTTTTGATAAGGAACATCGACAAATATGTGTAGAGATACATTATTTCAAATGTTTAATATAGGAATAAAAAAAGACAAATCATGATAAAAAATATTTATCAAATTTTATTTTTATTGTAAAAGAATTAGTTTTTATAATAATTAATGTTTGATTAATGCTACAACGCTAAAATTGTATATTCATAACATTAAATTATATATTCGAAATTAGAATAGTATTCACGTTTACTATATTCAGTTAATATCAATGAACTACGCTAACTAATAATCATGATGTTTATTTAATGTAATCACATGAAAAGCGTTGTTGTAGTTTTCAAAACTTACTTGATTGTATTAAATTGTAAATTTTAATATTTATAAAGTGCAGTTAAAAGTAAATATACAGTTGTGTTTTAATATAATGCTTAGTCTAGAGATCTGATGATTAATTAATTAATATTTTTATTTCTTATTTTTCCTCGCCTTAATCCCAACTACTTGAGGTCGGGCATCCCTTATCCTAAACTTGACACTTGACATGATCTACATCATCTACGTTCACATCAACTGTCATCATATCGCATTCAATTACATCCATCACTTTTTTGGTCTTCCTCTAGCTTTTTTTCTATCAACATTCATTTCTATAACTGTTTTTACAACTTCCAATTCTTCTCGAAAATATTAATTAATATAATTATTTAACTGTTAAAAATTAGATAAAAGCTGTGAATAACGTAAAAAAATTTAAATAATGATGAAAGTTCAAAACGTTGCTAACATGAATATCCGAATAGAAAAAATAAGTTTTATTGACAAAATTAATGATTATACTGATGATGAAATAATATTTAGATGTTTTGAAACGTTTTATAAATCCATGAAGTAAAAATTATAAAAAAATTGTAAGAGTTGCATTAGTTTTGACTTAAACTGTTGATTTTTTCTAATAACTAAAAAAACATTTTAAAAACTTTACTTAAGTTTAAGTTTTTTTACAAAATATTTTAATAGGTTGATAATAATTTTAAGATAAGTATTAAAATGCTTGTCTAAAAATGTTATCAAAATTTTTTGTAAGGAAAAGACTATTTCAAATTAAAAAAATTAGATTTTTCAATTTTATTTTTTTCTTATTAGTGATAATTAATAAAAAAAATTGAGTAAAATGTAGTCTAAGAAGGGAATTATTACTTAAAATTTTCAACGAAATGATAATGGGATAAAAAGTTATTGGATTTAATTTGTTATATCATCGTGGCTCAACTGTATATTTAAGAGAAGAATACCGAAAAATATTGAATAAAATCAAATATGAAAAATATTTATAATAAAAGATAATAATTATTCTTAAGTACATACATTGTACAATAAGTATATTGCACTATTAAATTTAATAAAACATATGGAACTAATATAACGCATCAATGTTTAACAATAAATGCAATTAATCAATGAGCTATTTTAATAAAAATTACATAAATATCGAGTTTGTTATCAATTGTCATAATTCATTCTGCTATTGTTTATACACAACATTTTACATCAATTGGTTGAATACTAGTTAGTGTTACACTAGATCTGTAGTGATTAATATTTACAGGATGCAGCATTATATCTTTTACCTTAATAATTTGTATAATATTAAATAGTAAAAAAAAACTATTTTTTTTTCAAACGATAAAAGTATATTTTTACCTTCGATGCGAAGCTGAAAAGGTATTGGTTTTACTAAGATGTGTTTATTTTTATTTTTATTTTATTTTTTGTGTCTGTTACCACTTTTTCTCAGCTCTCACCGAACCGATTTCTTTCAATGATACGTCAAAAGATCACAAATCGTATCTAGTCGAAGACATTACCCTTAAAAATTGAAAAAAATTCCCTCGTTCCCCGTAAATGGGGGAAACCTCCAAAAAAATTACAAATTTAAAAATCGCTAATTTTCGAAATTTTTTCAATTTTTTTTACTTAAAAGTGCCATAACTTTTTCAAAAATGAACATATCAATATAATTCTTTTTTATATAGATGCATAATATCATTACCTTTCATTTGGTATATTTTTTTCATAAATTTAACCCTTAACCTGCCCACAAGGGGGGATTTAAAATGACAACTTTTTCACAAAAAATTTACTTTTTCAACTTAAATTTTGAAACTGTTCCGGAAAGTCTGACACTTTTATTTATATCTTAAATTAAAGTTAATGTAATCTACTTTATTATGCGAAAAAAAAATTTCGGACTTTATTTTATCTTCACGGTGAAAATGGCTACCAAATGCTATTATTATGTGAAAATTCTCGATTTTATTTTTTACATTTTTAACTTTAAAATGCTATGACATATTTAAAAGTGTATGGATAAACATTATTTTTTTATGGGAAATACTATTTTTTAATAATCCCTTTTTCATTCGACATACTTTATCTTAATCAGGATATTAATAAGGAACTAGCAGTTTATGAAGCTTTTGGAATAATCCACCAATTTTTTAAAATTAAACACTATCTAAAGATTTGCATCGAAGCGTTTTTTTTTTTGATAGTGATTTTAATCACTGTCAGATATCATTATACTTGATCCAACTATGCCACGTCACCACTGTGCCGCGTCCCCCCTGTGCTGGGTTTTTTTGGTATTGATTTTATGGTTCGATTCCATTGGCAGCAGTATCAAATTATGATATCTTTTCAGTGAAAAGCGTTTTTATTTTGCTAATATTGAAAGGTCTATTTTTGTTTTACTATTAAAAGACAGCGTTGGGCAAATATTCATTTAGATAATTATTCGAATATTTATTTGAATGATTTTCTAATATAATTAATTAAGAAAAAATAATAAATACTGCTACTAATTATAATATTTAAATCAGATTTATTTTAATAATACATTTTTATTTGAATAAATATGTTTCAGAATTATTCGTATACATTTTTACATATATAATGATATTTTAAATGGTTTATTCAAATGCCCTATTCTTTTAAAGGGATAGAAATTTCAAATTTCTTTTTACTCTCCAGAAAAATGTATAAAAATAGAACTATTGAATAGACTATTGGGATTTTCCTCTTATATCCTTTCAGATGGCTTTAACTTTTTTTATTCTTATGAAATAAGATTGAGTTTTTGCAAAACGTTAAGGAACAGAACAAATTTTTTTTCAACGTGTTCCAACGTATGCGGCGCAAATTAAACTAAGCAATCGCTCGTAATGTCAATAATGCCTTTGCTAAAAAGAGGCGCCAACTCGTTTATTTTACATGTAAAAATATATTTTAAAAACAATTTTAGCATGGGTCGCCGTTTACTTAAGCCAGTTTTGCTTCATAGTAGGATACATTATATGATTGAAAAAATGGGAAATTGTATAACGTATAATAAATATGCCGACTATTTAGCTATATGGTTAATTATACAAATATTCTCCTTTTAAAAAATTATACAAGAGAATGATCTTTTGGTAATTTACATAAAGCAATGTCAATCTAGAGCTGGCAATGAACTTTATTAAAGTAAAATCAAGGTCTCGCTAAACATACACAATTTTTGCAATGTCAAATGGATCACAATTATAAAATGAAAATTATTTTGACCTTTACTTATGTCAACGAATGGCGCGATAGCAAGATTGTTATTTAAAATTCGGAATCTTTAATTTTATAACAGTTTAAGTCGACTTTATTCTAATAAGATATAATTAGTTTAGTTTTATAACGAAATTAAAAGTCTTCCTTTAATAAAAAAAATAAACCATGTTATCAGTAATGATAATACAAATAAGTCAAAAAGAGTTTAAAAATATTTTATATTTAAGTTATACAGACTTTATAACTCGAAAAATGAGTAAATAAATTATAGGGAATAAAAATGAAAACAATTTAAAAAATAATTATAATTATAAACTAAAAAAATTATCAGAATTGTTATTCATAGTTTTGGAGTAATCAATGCTGATAACTATGCAGGAAATGTAAAAACACGTAAAATGATAAACGTGATGAAAGCTAAATAATTATGTCAGATTAAGGATCCTTAACAGCTTTATAACTGTTAATAAAACATTTAACACAAAAAGTATAAATAGTGTTCCTTGTAAATACACAAGGTATATATTAAATAACTTTATGATTCAGTATATATATATAGTATATATTATAATTGACACACATAACGTTTATGTGCATTTGATTATTGAAAAACTCATTATCATTTAAGTACAATTGTTTTATAATTGATGATAAGCTAATATATTTATATAGCCAAACTAGTATTATACTTGTATTTAAATAAAATATAATAGATTTTGTAAATAGTTTGAATTAATTTACTAATACACATTACCATTAAAACATTTGTGCGATTAACAAAATTAATTTGCTAATTTCTAAAGATATCAATAATTAGTAACAAAAATTACCATAAAAAAACTTTATAACGAACTGTCCTTTAGTCGTTATAAACCATATGTTAATTAATTTAATTTGATTACCATAATAGGAATTTAGTAAGTTAGGGAAGTCAAAGAGCTAAAAAAATGAACATTTAACACAATTTTTTATAAAAAATAATATAAAGTTATTAAAATATGTATTAACTTTATTTAATATATATATATATTGCATAATTAATGTTTATATTTGTTGCGTCCCCTCATAAAAGTCATGCTTTGAGGTAACTATGATAAAATATTATCATATAGAATAAACCAAAAAAAAAAAAAATCGATAGTTTAGTGCCTAATCGAAATTTTTTTTGTTTTTTTGAAAATAAACAAAATGGCAGCCCATGATAATTTATTTACGGATTTTCAAGGAGAAGACTACTAGTTTATTGCTTATAAAAAATATAATTTTAATTAAAAAAAAATCCTTCAATCAGGCACTAGTTTTTATACTTTAAATAAGCTGTATAAATTCCATTCAAATACTTTAAGTGATTTTTAAATTACGGATGTTACTTACAACTGAGAGGGGGTACATCAAATATAGCTATACCAAAAAATAAATAATTAGCTACATATTTAATAGTAGTGTACTTAATACGGATTAACACTGTGACACAGCTTGATTTTAAGTAACAGATATAATAAAAATATATTTATTATAAAACTAATGAGCTCATTAATAAAAAGGTACGGACACTGTAATTTTTTAATAAAAATTAGTCTCAAGTATAAATAATTATTATTTAGCTTCAAGTAAATATTTTATTCTATTAAAAGTAGTACCCATCATCACATCTCGTTAGGTTCAAGTTTAAACTAAAAAATATTTTATGAAAAATTGTTTTTCAAATTTGATGTTTCATAACTAAGCTAAACATTATTTATAGTAATTCGTCACTACGATTTAATGAGATCAAAATTAATTTAGTGAGACCAAGTTTATTGTGTTTCTTTAATCAATTTATATGAAATAATATAGCATCATCGTTTTAAAATTTGCTTACAAAATTTTTCTAATCAAATTATCCAATCAGTCAAAACAAATGTATAATTTTAAAGTAATAAGATATATTAAAAACTAATAATTATAATTATTATTTGATAAATAATTATAAAAATAATAAATTAAACATTCAGTTTAAACATTTCATTGACACAAAAACTGTAATGCAGATTATTTTAAATTTCCACTATTTTGAACGTAAAAAAAATTTTTATCAGATATATCCTAGTATCATTTGTCAACATAATTATACTTTTTAAACAATCATTTTTAAGCGAGTTAGACACATAAAATTGACATTTTCACATTAAAGCAGATACTATTTTGATGTATTGGTTCTATCTAACTCGTTTTTCATTAGGCACGCTTTTAAGAAATAATGCCTACATAAGAAAAATTGCACCTAATTCTTGAGATCAAAATAAAAATTTATCTACATATAGTTGTTTTTACCATAAGGAGATTGTCCCTATTCTACCTCTGTGCAATTCCTTATATTAATTATACTAAAAATACCACAAAACAGCAATAATTGCTGCCCTCGAGGTAGAGTCGCTACTTATATATATATGAAATTATTAGATATTCATTTTAACGTATAGTTAAATAATTTTTACAATCATTATTAATATTCAATTTTTTTACTAATGACATTAAATTTATACATTAATACGGGGGTCAATAGCCTGGGTTATGACCCAGCCGGCTTAGGTTGTAGTTCCGTTTATGATAATGGTTCATTAGTCAAATAAAAATGGATTTTGAGACTATCAATATGAAATTTGTTTAATATAAAACTGGCAACAAAAATTATTGTGAGAGTTAAAAACTTGTTATATTTAATTAGACAACAATAAACGAATGGTTCCACAATAAATATAGAACAGACTACAGGGAAAGAATTACGTATTGTGCAGTAAATTTAAAACACAATAGTTTACATAGTGAATACTTAAAAAATTACGAACAAGTAGTTAGAAAACAATATATACAAAAAAATTATTTCATAATAAGATTGTATTCTCATTAAATGTTTTTACAATATGAGAAAGATAAATGTAAAAGCAAAAATCACATAAATAATAATGATAAAGGTAACTCCAGATTTTTAATATCAATCCAGAAATTAACAATTTAGGCACGTTTCATTGGCAAATAATTGACCCAGTTCTTGATAATAATTTTATTTATTATATTTTATTTAAGACTAAAAAAAATGTATAGTTTAATTTTTCAAAAAAAAAAAAAAGGTCATGAATCAACTTAGATCCTTTTTTATTTTTAAAGAATTTATGAGAGCTATTTAATTTTATGAATTATAGGAAATTATTATTAATCCAATAATTGTATTAATAATAATTAAAAAATAATTTTTTATCATTAAAAATTCTTTCTATACGTGTTCAAAAAGTAAGGAAACACATCAATTTTTACAAACAATGAGAAAAATAGAAATCCGTTTCCTTACTTATTGAACGCCTTTATACTAAACAATGCTATGAAGTAAAAATAAAAAAGACTATTTTCTTAAAGTTCATTTAGAAAAATATACCGTAATTATTGAAATAAACTTGACCTTGTTTTTCTAACATTTGTGTGCGCTCGAATTTTTTCTCAGATTTAAGTGGTTGCTAACTACGTATAAGTAGTGAATTTTGCGTTTCTTGCGAGGAGAAAGTAGTTTCTAACGAATCTAGTACCCACTATCCGGTAAAAACAGAGATTCATTTATAAACTAAACATATCAAGTTTTAATTTCTTAAAAACATTTATCCATCTAAAAAGTGCGTAATTAACAAACAATAACTTTAATTAAGATAAACACGGGAAGTGTCTTACAAAATTTAATTGATAACATATTGAACATTTTGAACAATTCATGTACATTTCACAGACCAAACAATATTTAGGTCAATAATTGATCTAAATAATATATTCATGTACAAATTCAATGGAAAGAGTTTATTTTTCTTACGAATTTAATTGAATTAAAATTAAAATTTGAACACAGATAATTTTGTTTAGCACAGTTATTTATGTATATTTTGCATCAAAACAATGAGCAGAATTGATTAAATAGAAGTGATTTTCAATTTTTTTTAAACTTATCAATGAATTTATAATTGACTATAAAGAGAGCATTTTTGTTTAATTTGGAGATGATTAGCTGGAGATGCTTCCCTTTTATGTCTACCTATGGATTAGTAGACTACGTTAAAAAATAATATATTATAAATAGTTTAACGATTAATTAATGTTTAATTTAATTTAAGTCTAAATGTATTTTATAATCGAATAAAAAAAATATTTGTATCTATACTAAATGTTTTATTATGGATGATTTTAAAATATTTAGTTTATTTGTTATTGCAATAAAATAAAATATTAGCGAATTAAATTAACTTTGACGAATTGTTTAAAGTAAAAATATGTATTTTTCACAAACTAAAGTTCCAAAAATTAACTTAACTTAATATATAAACATATAATTTATTAAAATAAATCAAAAACTTTATAACTAATCGTAACTTTTTATTCATACTAAACTGTGTTGATTTATATAATTATTTGGTATTCATGTTTGTGTAATAGGAATTTAAGTAGATTAAATATGTTCTGTATTTTATTAATTCAATTACCGTTTAATAAAAATGATAATGTAATAAAATTTATCCTTGGATTTAAATTGATTTGAAGATCAAAGTAAGAGACCTTTATATTTTTAATTAATTTATACGGTTAACGCTATTTTGCATAGATGAAATTATTTAATAGCTGAATTATTAAATGTTGAATAGCGTACTTATAGCAAGTTTCTGGAAGATAAATAAAAAAGAAATGATAACAAATAGTACATTTTTCATTGAAAAATTATCATTTTATTCTCCTAAATTAATATGATACACCACAATTAGTTTTTTTTTGTTTATAAATAAGAATTTTCTGAATTGAAATAAGAGTAGATCAACGAAATTGAACTCCCACCAACAGAGAATAGTTAAGAGGAAGGAAACTGCTGCATCAAAACGGCTGTGAACTTCAACGTTGATCACAGCCGACAGTCGCCGACTTGCTTTATGTACTCGCCTTTATGTGGCGCGTGTGTTAGTAGTGTTAAAATAAATAGCACACGTTTTCAATTGTGTCGCGTATCATTTACTAACTTATCCGATACTAGAATTTTTATCCAATTTAAATAATTTTAATGCACAATAATATATTTTATATGTAATTTTAATTCGAGTAAGTGTTCCAAAAAAAAAAAAAAAAAAAAAGAAAATGTGCAAAAATAAAACGAAACTGTGATAAAATAACATTAATTAATAGGAATTAATTTAGTTTTTAAATTATCGTCTAAAAATATTCAATAGCTTTTTTAATATAATGAAAATTAACCAATGTACAAACTTTTCCATTACATGGTTATTTATAATTGTGACATTTTTAACTCGCAGTAAGTAAATTCACCGTAAGAGACTCAAATTTTTTAGTATTTAAATAAATTAAATGTAAACACTATGCAACCAAAGAAATAAATAATAGAAAAATATTAATTTTCTTTATAATTAATTAAATTAATTTTATTTTAATTCTACAATTATTCAATAATGAAAAATAGACTAGTTCGGATAGCAAAAAGTAATTTTGAAATTATTTTAATAGCAACAAAAAAAAAATAAGCCGCAAAATTCGTGTTAAAAAAAAACTACGTAAGTACGTAACTGTAATTTAGCTTTGATAGAGAGAAAGACGCACATCTGATGGTACCGTTAGTCTTAAAATGTAGTTAGTTAAAACCATCGGTCAATGACAATTATAGANTGTAGTTAGTTAAAACCATCGGTCAATGTCAATTATAGATTTTTCCACCTTTCATACTATTATAACTGCATTCGATAAACATATGTAACACATATTTCGTTTATTAGTCATATTATTTATTTTAACAGTTTTTTTATAATACATAAAAAATTTAAAAAGCGTAATACAAAGAACTGTTCATTTAGGTGCTTTTTTCAAATCTATGAATATTATGATACCCAATTAGTAAATACAATATTTTCATTGGATTAATACATTTTTATTTAAATTTGACTCGCACATTAATAACTAAAAGGCATTTTTAATGACCTTGAGAAATTCATATTGTACAGCTAATAACATTGATGAAGTTTTATTCACAATTACGTAATAAATATTTTTCAAAAAATGAATAGTTAAATGTAAACCAATTGATATAATTAAACTTATTTTATATTTAAAAATATCAAAATTGATTAAAATTAAAAAACATTAAAAAATAAGTTTAAAAATTCATTAATTTGAATATTAAATATTTTACATTTTAAACGACAATGTACGACGATATTCAAATTGAGGAACAAATTGTTGATGAGGAAAATTGCAAATAATACATGATTAAATTGTGATACTATGCTATTTCTATAAACTCTTATAACTTATCATTTGGTTAAAATTTAAAACGCGTGCGAAAACAAAATATTTCATATATAAGGCGTCACAAAATTAGTGACCAAGTCACGTTTTATAAAAACATCTATTTAGTGAATACACAACGTTATTATATTAAATTTATATCTATGTTGCGTGTCAATTATACTAATACGAGGTAGAGATAGTACGAGTCGTTAATTTCGAAAACTGTTATACTTAATTAAAATGATAAAAAAGATAATTCGGATGTATTGTTTTAATTTTTTATATTTTTCAAATTCATTTATATTTTGAATATAAGTACAAATTAGTAGAATTATGAAATTAAAATACATTTTTCGTTTTTAATTAATAAAAATAAATAATTCAAAGTTTCCAAAATTACAAAAATAATTTAGGTAATTCTAAAAGGCTCGTGTAAGCACTTAACTTGTCTAAATCATAATTATTAGTATAGGTGCAATTTAGGTGGTATCAGACTCTTATTTTTTAATTGTCCTTCCATACTTTTGTACAACTCATACAAATTTACATATATAATTTTATTATCAAGAACATGTAACTATATATTAAATAATTTTACTCTTAACTCAATGCTTTAAAATTATTAAAAATAATTGAAGTTTATAAAATAATTTTGGATCTAGCAAGAAGATTATAAGATTTCAAATGTTTTGCTCTTAACTATATAGGTTTTTCCACATTCTTAAATACAAAAATTACGTTTTTTCTTATGAAAAATTAAATTAGAATCAACCTAGATTAACATTTTTAATTATTGTTTTAAAATATAATAAATAAACTAAAGTTAAATTTTTATACAGAGATTTTATCTTGAATAAAATTTCTGATATTTATTTTGCAGTGGTTAGAAGTGAAATAGAATGTTATGAGTGTACAGTCCATCCTCCAGAGAGATACCTTAATAAAACTACAAAGTTATGTTCAAAATTTGATTTGTCAGACCATTTTAAGGTTCATTGTCCTTATTCTACATTTTGTATGAAAAAATCTTTTCAGCTAGAATTGCCTGGTGGAAGTGAGTGTAAATTTTCATATAAAATTATTATATACAGCATAATATTTGTTTTAAATAAAAGTTCTAATTTTTTAGAAATTGTAAAAGGAGCAGTAAGAGGATGTGCTCCACAAAAGTATGATTATCAAGTTTTAAGGGATGGAAAATGGCATGCTGAGTCAAAAATTTTATATGATGCATATAAAAGTGGATGTTTATCCGGTGATGATGATGATAAACTAAGAACTTCTGATACAGAATTTTGCTACTGCGATAAAAATTTATGTAATAAAGCTAATCAACCAGTAAATAATTTGTCTAACCACTCAGACACTATAGCAGTTATTATAATATATAACATTATGAGGTTTCTTAAAACTCATACGCAACCAGCAATGTGAATAAACACATAACACATAACATATAGAATAAAAAAGGAACAAAAATTATACCTCAAAAGGTTTTCAAAATATAACAGATTTTAAATAAATGAATTATATACTATCATAGTTTGAGTAATAGTTAAACAACAGATATAAATAATGAAAGCTCAATAAATCAATTTGTGTACTATTATAACATTTTAATTTTATCAAATTAATATTTTTACATTATTAAAATTCATCATTTTTATCATAAATTTATATGACAATAAGAAAAACTTATTAAATATTTTGTTTCATTAAGTGACATTTCTTGGCTGTGTTTTATACATTAATTTATACTTTGTATATGATTTACTAATTATTATTTAATTTTAGTCATTTATTTTAATAAAATAATGTTTCAGTTTATTTGTATAAACTTAAATATTTTTAAATAATTATAATTCAATCTAAAGTAATAAGACTGACGTATTACAAACCTGGTGTTATTTATTAATCACCAATATTTGCTTTATCTGTTTTATTAAAATAATATTTATTATCATGATAAATGATAATTTTTCTTAAAATTGATTTTAGTTGTTTTAAGTAATATAATTTTTTTCTAACTACTTTTTTTTTTTTTAATAGAAAGGCAAAAATAAGTGCTAGAAGTTCTATGCCATACTAATAAAAATAAGATGGGAGATCTACTTATTCACTCAATAAACTTTTAATTTAATGTCTTAAGAATTATTAAAAAATTATCTAAAATTTGGTTGAATTAGGTTTTAAATAAAGGTTTTTTAGAGATTTAAAAATGGATAACTTATATTTTTAAGCTTGGAACTTAGCTAGTTTTACACTTTATTGAATATAAAATAAAAGCGGTTGAAAAAAAATTGAAGAACATAATTAGAAATGCAATGACTTATTTTTTTTTGTTAATATCAAAAAAAAAAAAAGGCAATATTAGTTTTCATTGTAAATTAATTAATGATACATAAATTGTTTTGTTTTTTTATGAACTTTTGAAAAAAAAAAATTTGTTAAAATAATAAAAAGGTCACCTAAAATTTTTTAGGGTATCAGCCCTTCACTGAAAAGAATATTAATTTTTTATGGTGGTGGAACTTAAGTTATTTCCATATAATGATAAGTAATAATTTATAATTTATTTACCTGAGAGCTGTGTTCAACTATGTACAAAAAAACTACATCTTCTCTTCTTAGTCGAACAGCAGAATGTAGTGGATACTTAGTTTTACTTTTAAACATATGATAAAGAAATTGAGCAGACATATGTGCAAAATCATCACTAGTAAAATCATCCTAAAATTTAAAATAATATTTTATTAGTAAAAGCTATAATAATTTTATTTTTATTTTAAATTTAATATGATACCCAATGTGCTGAAATTAAACTTGAGCAATGCTCCTTTAATGTATGAGCCCCTATTTCATCGGCAGTTGTATAGAATTTTACACAATTTTTAACATTAACAGAAGCCATAAGAGCTTTTTCACACCTGCAGTAATCATTTTCATTAAAATTATTATTAAATACATTATATAATAATAGGGTAACAATATTTTAATTGCACATAAAATTTTCATTAGGTTTCATTTTAAATAATTTAACAAATTAAATTAAATTGCAAATTTTACTTAGAAAACTTATACATAAACATAAGGGTGGGCCTTATTTTGCAAGTTTGAAAATTTGATGTCAAGTAATCGGAATTTCATTCTATACAGCATACAGAAAATAATGGTGAATTTTGAGCGTCCTAGGTTGAAAATTGACAAAAAAGATGTAGGAATTTAGTTTTTGTATATATCTCTTTAATTATTATAAATAAAAAAAATTTCACAAAATTAATGTAATAAATGTAACAATATAGTAAACAAAAATGTAAAGAAAAAAGGTCTTTACAAATTTTTTGTAACATTTATAGTTCAAAGTCTAACTAATCAAAACTGTTTAATTTTATTTTTAGTGAAAACATATAATTTTTTGTTTTTTAAATGTTTATTTCTATAAATATTGACAACACAAAAATATTGCATCTAAGGAAATATTTTCAAAAAAATATGCATAAAAAAAAGGTAATAATTTAATTTTTCGTAGTACTACAATTTCAGTGTATCTAAAAGCGTGTAGTGTTTCATAAAATATAATAAAATGTCACGAAATATTATTAATATATATCTTATAGATAATGTGTGTAGTGAAACTACTGATAACAAATTACCCTCGAATAGACATTTCTTATGTTTTTTTTTATAATATGCACAACTTAAAATTAAATTTGCATGACAGTTCTTTTCTTGTTCATAGTATATAAAACATTGCTATATGCTGTATAAAACAAAATTACGATCACTTGGCATTAAATTTATTTAAAAAGAAAAATTACTTAGTATAAATAAGGACCACACTAATATAAATGTATAAATAACAAAATTAAAATAAAAAATATTATGTTCTTTTTTTTTCAAATGAAATTGAAATTGAAACACATGAAATTCCTATAAAAAAGTAATATATTATACTAGAAGAACTTTGATCTAGTGCTAATAATGAAATTAATAAATTATTTATTTGATTAGAAAAAGGAAAATTTTTTTAATATCAATCCCATAATGTACTTAATTTTTTAATTTAAAATTAATGGATAAGGATTTTATTAATAATTTTATTTCTTAAAAGTATAAGTTATACAAGTATAACTTATTTAAAATATTTGTGTCTTACTTAAAAGTCATATTTAATCTAATATGGAATAAATATTTTTAAAAGTGTAATTTATGTTTAAAAATAATTGAGCTACCTCTATAATTGTGTAAAATATGTATACTATTTTTAGATATAATTTAAATTTTAGTATTTCAATAATAATGACCAATGCTGAATAAGGAAAAAATAGAATTCCAGGCCATTAATTAGTAGCTTCTTATATAATCATGTAAAACAATAAATTAACATTTTATTTTTACAAAAAATTTGTTGAGCAAAGAAATGAAAATTTTTGGTATTTGTATTAGTTTTTAAAGACTATTGATGCTGCACTACTCAATTGATATATATATTTTTTAAAATCAATACTACATTTTACATAACTTTACGTTTGATATAGACAATCTAAATTTTAAAATAATTTTATCAGAGAATATCCAGTATAATGATTTTTTTAGGTATTAAGAATCAAATAATTACTTATTAACAAGATCATCTAAGAGAAATGTGTCTGCTGTTTTCATTAGACTTAAAGTAAAACTATCGCCTTTGCAAAAATCAACTTGATCAGTGTATATCCACTTTATTAATGCTTTTCCTACATCCAAAGGAAATGATGTCCAGTCTAAAACAGCATAAAATATCTGAAAACTTAACAGATACTAAATCACTACTAAATCACTTACCTAACTCACTAATTTCAGTTAGATCTGGAACTCCCCAATTATCACTACGTGATGATAATACAAATTTATGAGCAGGAACATCACCATTTGAAAGAGCAATATTTAAATCACTAAAAAAAAAAGTAGTTAAAATTCTGATTGTACATTGTTACAAAAATATATATAGACAATTTTTTAATCATTTTTGTGACTTTTTGAGTTTAATACTTTATAGTTTTAAATTCATATTTTAAATTTTAAAATGCAATCCCTACATAGATAAATTAACTTTTTTTCAACTGCTAGTTACAATTTGAAATTCAAAATTAAATTAAAATCTAATTTTTCACTTTGTTTTAAATTTAAAAAAATTATCTAAAAAATCTTTGACACACCCATCAAGGATTAACAGCCAGGTGTCTAAATTTTTTCAGAAATCATATTAAAAAAGAAGCATGGTATAGGGTAAGAATCTATAGTCTAGGGCAGTAGTCGGCAACCGGCGGCCTGCGGGCCGTATCCGGCCCGCGTGGCTATTGAATACAGCCCGCTTTAAATTCTAAATCGACTAATTTAATTGAATATCATTTTGTATAAATATAATTGAACGTTGCGTTTTTGGTACGGGTATTTTATATAAGTCATATTATTATTTTAAGTTTTAGATAGTATTTTTTTGCATAATAAATAATGTAATTATAAATTTTTTTTTTATCTGGCCCGCGAACTCTTTTTAATTTGTAAATGTGGCCCGAGAATTAAAAAAGGTTGCCGACCACTGGTCTAGGGTGTTGTATTGATACACATTAGGCCAATACCTATTTTATTGTATGATATTATTCATATGTTTTCATTTTGACTGAGAAAATATGGTACAATCTCAACTTAAATTAAAAAATCACAAATCTTAGTCTAAAAATAAATATCTAATTAGTTTTTTTAATAAAAATTTTACCTTAATCGATTTTGTAAGATATATGAGTATAATTAATTCATCAATAACACTTTTGGTATTCCAATAAAATTAATTTCTATATGTATAATATATATATATTAAATGTATGACACAATCCCATCTTACTCCATAAGTAATACACTTCATATTTTTATAAAATTCAATATACCAATTTTTATTGTGTTTTAAACTTTCTGTATTTTACTCAGTATAATAGCATAAAAATGTACTGTCTATTTCCTAACTTTATTTTAACTTTTAAATTTGTTAACAAAAATATTAATTACCTGTAAAGGGTATTGTTGTATAATGTAGTTACTGTTTTTAATAATCTAGAAACAAAACTTTTATCATTACAATCGCCATAAGTTGCTGCCAAAGTTGCATATTTTTTTTCAAGATCATTGCAATATGCTTGCAATTTAACATATTCTTCTTTCAGTAAAGAAAGATGCTGTTGTTGTTTGTGTCTTTCAGAATCTCCTGACATACCTATGAAAAATAAAATAATAACATATAAAATAATAATAAAACTGAATTTATATCAACTATTACAGTTAAGACTCATGTTAAATAACAACAATAAGATTATTTCATCCAATATTTATCTTATAAGACAATTTAATTTGAAGTTGACAAAAAAATATTTATAATTGAGTATTTCAATAAAAAACATTATTTAAATGTTGCTTCAACTAAATATTTCAAGAGGAAACTCCCACTTAATAAATTATCTTAGAACAAACATCAAATACAAATTTGTATTTAAATGTAGTGTTAACACCTCTATTACAGAAAATTTAGATTAAATAAACATTAACTAAAAACTCAATGCTTATAAATTAAATTTAAGTTTAAAAAACATTAATAACCGTAGTATATTCTTAACATTTTAAACAACAAGAATAAATTAAAGTATTGGGAAACAATATTTCAAGACTACTAAAAAAAGTACCTTCTCGAAATGAATCAACTTTGGGCATCCTTAACTATTATTATAATTTGTAGTTTAATCAATCGGTCACATTAGTCATCAATTTTTAAAATTAAAGGTTTCTAATTTCTGAGATTAATTAAAATGTGTGCAGGTTAGATGAACGGATATAAAATTCCAAATTTACTGATTAATATCAAGAACGGTTAATGGTATCTACCACAAGTTTAATGTACTGTGCTCAAATTTAAATTATTAAAATATGATAAGAACAGCGCGTAATCACTAGCCTGTAATTTATTAATGAATAACAAGAAAAATAGTTGGGAATTTAAGAATGACTGTGAGAAAGTAAATTTTATTTGGGGATAAATATTATTGAAAATTTTTTTATTAGAAAATCATTATCTTTAAGAAATAATCCTAATTTTACAGTTAATTTGCCTTGGCATTTGAACCAGTTAGGATGAACAAAAATATATGTTTTCAATATTCCGGGGGCAATTTAGTTCACCGGGATATTCTCGATGACCTGTTCTTAATTTTACTTAATGGACCGTCAAATTTTAACTTCTCATTGGATTGAACCAATCTATCTGTCTCAACATTACTAGTGTGCACTGCCTAACAACTAGATTAAGAAATAACAAACATATATTCACATGATTTCCTACATGTAAACAAATATTTTTACTCAAAAAGTACAAAAAACATTTATGATGTTAATGTTAGTGATATATTTAACTATTCACGTGCTGTTCAAAATATTAAGAGATCGATTTTTTAAAACTTGTATTATTCATAATTAATTAAATCGGTTGTACAACTGTTCATAATTGCTCACACAAACAAACAATACATTGTAGTTTAATAAAACATCTTAATTCTACCAAAAATTTTTTCAATAGCGAGATTTTGAATTATGTTTAGGAGTTTGATTTCGTCAGTTCATTAAACTATTGCAAGAATGGAGGAAAATTATTTTCCTCTACTCATTTTAGATGTAAATGTATTACACGTATAGTTCGCTAAGTCTTTAATTCGACATACTTGCTTTACTAATATATGCAGTAACTAAAACCTATTTTGCAGATGCATTTAAGGAGAAATGGGTTTTAAAATATAACACAGATTTCTTATATTTACTGAATAAACAATTCTGTAGCACAAACCAGTTTACAATATACAAGAATTATAAAAGCATAAAATTATTCAAAACGAATTCTTAATATAGATCTCAGCAGTTCTTATACTTTGATCCTAATATTTTACAGCAGACTATTCGTATAAATTAACCTAGCTTTGTTATTGTAGTTAAAATTTAGAGATAGGAATTTTTATAGAAAACAAGTATTATTTTTTTGGAAAAATAATGTTGATACAACGCGCTAAATTTATAATATAAAACTCAATTGATTAGAGTAAAAAGTTAACCTGGGATTTTTATTATAATCTCAGATGTGAATAATAATAAAATGTATGTAAAGAATAAAAATGTCCATAACTATGGATTTTAATTTCATATTGGTGATTAATATTTTACTTCTATTTCTAAATTAATAATTGAGCTTCTTGAAAAATATTATAGGCACTGAGAGAACTAGTTATATCAGTCAGTGTAAATAATATTTCGTTAGGATACTTAAATTATTTATCTATTACTAGACTTGTAAAATCATTATATTGTTTATTTATTATATAAATTGTCAATTTATAACAAGTTTGCACAATTATTTTACAGCAGCAGTTGCTTTTTCTTCTTCTCTGATTCTATCCTTTTTCAGTGGACCCATAAATGCTGCTTTGTCAGCAATGGTTTGGAATCGTCCATGACCAAATTTAGAAGATGTATCAATGAATTTCAGGTTGATACTTTCCAAAGCCGCACGTTTTGTGTGAACTAACAAAGACTGTAAAAATACAAAAAATCAGTTAATTTAATAAATAAGAAAATTGTGTACTACTAATCTACACTAATGACCTCAGTCCTATCAATGCGTATAACATTCATTCATTATATTTCACGAAATAAATGGCTCTAATTAATTATACATCATAGGTCAATAGCAACAAACAACTTCATGATAAAATTTTCACTGTAAAAACCTCAGATTCGGGATAATTAAGCTTCTAAATTCACTGATCAGTCAAAGGATTGGCTCCATTTGCTCATCATTGGTTTTCAAGTGAAAGTCTTATTAAAATTATCACAGTAAAATAAAAATTTTAATTAACAACTTACTTTACGCAGAGTAATAATTCTTTTCTTAGGTCCAACACAACAACCTTTGATCATAATGAAGTCATTATTTACTTCACCATAATGAGGGAAACCACCCATTGGAGTGATAGTTTTTTCAGTTAAATCATACTCTGTTGAAGCATTATTTTTGATGACCTACAAAATATCAGTTTAAATTAAACTAAATAATTCTATTTATTATAGAAAAATGAATGAACCTTATATTAAAATGTGCTTAGCATGGTCTACTAGCAAGTCACAGCCCGACGGGCTCTTGCACGTTACGGAATAATGCCAACCTTTAACACAACTTTTTACGAAAGTAAAGAGGGTTAAATTTATTTGTGATGTGATAACCTATACGTCTCAAGATTGAAAGACCCTTAAAGCTATCTCAATGAAGTTAATCATTACATCAGTCAATGAAAATCATACTATTTAATATAAAAATCTCAGTTTGTCAGTAGGAAGGCAGCATGGTGATATCTTCATGATATTTCAGAATGCTAACATCATGTATTATCATCATTCAAACTAAGTTACAAAATAAATAAATCATAAATGTGTTAAGCATGGTCTACTAGCAAGTTACAGCCCGACGGACTCTTGCATGTTACGGAATAATGCATAAACTCAGCACCAAAACAAGTAAAACTTGATGGGCTAATTTTATGTATGATGTATTGGTATATACGTTGTGATTAAGCACAACCCTTTCACCAATTGATTATAATAAAATAATCCATCAAAGATTTATAGCTAATAGTAACAATAAAATGAACAATTTCCTTACCTTTCCATCTTTAGTATGAATTCCAAGACCAATTCTATAAATCTTCTTATTAATTTCAGTTCGATGATGGTATCCTTTTTGTCCAGCACGTGCAACAGTGAATTGAACACGACTAGGATGCCATGCACCAATACAGGCTACTTTACGTAAACCTTTGTGTGTTTTACGTGGTAATTTCTTAGTATGCCAACGAGATGTGACACCCTTATATCCACGACCTTTAGTTACACCAATACAATCTATCATTTCATCTGGGGCAAAAACATGAGAAACTGGCACAGGCTTTTCGAAATGTTCTTTAGCCCATTGAACTTTTTCAGCAATGGTTCCTCCATTAACTTGAATTTCCATAATATGAGCTTTCTTTTGACGTTTTTTTAATAATTTCATCTGGAAATTGTTCAAGATTAAATAGTGTTGATTTTTAAATATGGAAACTAGGAATGAAATTCTTATTGATATAATAGTTAAAATTAATTAATTTCTTAAATATTTTAAAATTAAATATGTTTAAAACCTCAGACCGCCCTAGGGTTGTCATCAAATTCTATATCAGTGTCTAACTGTATATTTATCTTCATCATAGGCAATTAAAAAAAAATTCTCATATTAAAATGGACTGACTAAAATGGAGAACATAAGAAAATTATCAATTTACCTGAGTATGAGCAATGACACGAACAACTTTTGAGTATTTAGCTATCTTAGCTAAATCTTTGTTGATTTGTTTTTTACCATTTTCATCTTGCCATTTCTTAGAATATTTGACAAAAGCTTTCTTCTTAGATTTGTACCTTAAGTTGTAACAAATAATAAAGAATGAGTCTCATCAATGACAAAAAGTCATGAGTGGAGACATCAGTTCTTCTTGCTGCATTTCAAATTTAATTTGAACATAACAGCAAATTTTAAACTCTCATCCGCTATTGGAGAGGAGAGATAATTTTTTTTAAGTACATATATCACTCTATGGCAATGTATAACATAATGAATACTATCTTTTAGAATAACGGCAATCAGTTTTAATTGCGAACAAACAATTATATTAAATATAATATATAAAATAAAAAAAAATATGATGATGAATTTTTAATTGTAATATATAAATAATTTATATACAGGAAAATCAATTATAGATAAGACACTCATTTTTACAAAACTATTAAATGTTCAATATTTGTAAATAAGAATAGTCAAAATTTAAAGTTTTAATTTTCTTTAATTGGTAAGTCTTTCTAAATTTGATGATATGATCGAAAAAAAGGATAATTTAATAATTTTTTTTTTTAACTGTATAAATATTTAGATATAAAATAGAAAATTATAGTTAATTTTGTTTTTATAAAACTGGAATCAACAATTAACCGATTAAATACATCGTAAATTATTATCAGAATTTATTCTTGAAATTATAATAAGACATATCATTACAAAAACTGTCTATAACAACTTGTTTATAAAAAAATGATAATTACTATACAGGTGGCCCACCACTCACTGACAACTTAAATAACTTTTGATCCAATTAATATTTTTAGTTGATTTTTTTAAAAATAATAGTTGTACGTAAGGTCTTTAGCTATATCTCAATAACTAATTTTTTTACATTTTATTAAAAATATTAATTATTTTTAAATTTTAAATAAAATGTNATAGCTATATCTTAATAATTAATTTTTTTACATTTTATTAAAAATATTAATTATTTTTAAATTTTAAATAAAATGTAAAAAAAAAAATCTAAGATAGCTATTTTGTAGAGTTGAATTTAAAGAAAAATTTTAGTAAAAAAATATCTTATTAATATTCAGTAGTAAATATTCTGTAGCGTTTTGAAGTTTGTGAAAAAATTTGAATTTTCATGTATTATTTTACGGTATTTAACATTGAAATACGTATTGAGAAAAAGACAGAAGAAAACGCTATCTTTTCATGATTACTATAATTAGAAGGTGTGTAACTTTTTCCATGAAAATGCCTTATACTTTTAAATGAGAGTGATAAGTAGTAATTGCCTCAACTAATTTCTTATCATATTAATGCCAAGTTTGTAATGTATACACAGTAATCATGAAAAGATAGAGTTTTCTTCTGTCCTTTTCTCAATACGTAATTCAATGTTTAATACCATAAAATAATACATGAAAATTCAAATTTTTTCACAAACTTCAAAACGCTACAGAATATTAATAAGATATTTTTTTACTAAAATTTTTTCTTAAACTCTACAAAATAGCTATCTTAGAGATTTTTTTTTTACATTTTATTTAAAATTTAAAAATAATTAATATTTTTAATAAAATGTAAAAAAATTAGTTATTGAGATATAGCTAAAGACCTAACATACAACTATTATTTAAAAAAAATATTAACTGGATCAAAAGTTATTTAAGTTGTCAGTGAGTGGTGAGCCACCCTGTATATTAAACTGCCAATTATTATTTTAAAATTAGTAAAAAATCATGAAGTTCTAAAAGCAAAAAAAAAAAAAAATAAACGATTCATCAAATTTAAAATATTCAAAAGACAACTATTTTTTGATAGATCATTAAGTTTGAAATTACAAGTTTCCATTAAAAATAAATTAAGTATAGGTTTCTAACCCTAAAGGGATCATACAAAGATTTAAGTAAATATTACTAAAGAATTTATTAAATCAAACTATTTTATTTTATAAAATCCATTAATTTTCAGTAGATTTATAAAAACTAAATGTCTTATCATTAATCTGTTACCTTGTATAATATGCAATTCAATGATGAATATTTTGTAATTTAATAGAAGTTAAATGCAAGCCTCAGACCGCCCTAGTAAATTAACATCAGGTATTTCAGGAAGTTTCTAACTGTAATTTTCAACTAAATCATCACTGGCTTATTTGACGTTATTATACTTAAAATTAGAATATATTTAAATTTACCAATTCTTATAGAAACGACGACGGCAATCTTCAGATAAATGTTCAGCAAACACTGTTTTTAAGGGTTTTAAGCCATAGGGAGTTTCAACATAACCAACAACACCAACAATAATCATTGGTGGAGTTTCTAAGATAGTTACAGGCTCAACAATTTCCTTTTTATTAAGTTCTAAGTGAATGATCTTCAATTAATTGAATATTGAACAGACAAAAAATATATTTTAAGTATTTACTTGATCCAGGTCGATCTGCTTCCCGTACAACATGTGTCATACCAGCTTTATATGCAATAAAAGCAGTTAAATGGATAGGTTTGCTCGGATCATCCTTGGGGAATGACTTTACTCTTCCACGATGACGACGTGCACGTTTTTTCGGGTAGAATCCCATAGAACCATGACGAGGAGCACTGAATTTACGATGAGACTAGAGTAGATTCAGAAAATTATATTTAGTAATTCATATATATAAATGTATTTTAAAATATAACATTTTTTCAATTCAAAATATAGTAAAATTTTGTTAATTATTAATACAAATGTGCTTTTTAACAAAAATTATAACAATAGAAACATACAAATTTATAACTTTAAAAAGAAGGTTATGTAATTTTTTGTAAACAGTAGTTTCAGATAGACGAAATAAATATATTGACAGAATTCCAGACATTTTTTAATAATACGCACAAAAACTTCAAAATTATAGTAAAAAAAAAAAAGATCATACTATTATAACCTTAATTAAGTATGAAAATAATTACAAAGAATTATTAATGAGAAAGAAAAAATTACATGTACGATAACCATCATAATACAAACGAAACACGTGTGTTCATTTTGTGAGTATTCAGGATCTTCATGATTACATCTCGTATTATAAATAAATGGTAAACGTGGCATTCTTATTAAAAAAAAATGCAATGAATTAAAACCAAAATTTAAAAGGTGAAAAGGATGTAAATGTTTAATGACATTTAAAATATTTCGTAAACTAAAAGTGACAATTTAGTAAAATATTATGATTGTTCAAAACGCAACGTTTAATAGACAATTAACGTAGTTAGACAGATCGCAATAGGGAAATATATCTACTTCAAACATTTTATCATATTGTAATATAATAATTTAAGTTTATTAGTTGAATACTAAAATTAGTGGAGAAATTGTTAATTAAACTAAATATAAAAATTGTAAAAAATAGATCAATTACAGAAATATATCTCTAAAATTTCTTACACGTGTTATGGTTTCAAGAAAGAAAATCAAATAAAATACAAAAAAATATGTATGCTCATGGAAAATTATAATTTAAAAAATCAATAAAATGTGTAGAATAGAAAAAAAACTTACCATTATCGATAATTAATCGGATGCTTCTGGATAAAATTTAAGAAAACGTATATGAGAAATTAACACCAACCTCACAAAAGGAGAGTGTACAAACTATGACTCTGTACGTCACGCAACCAAATGATGGAAACTCGGCAACAAAATAATATTATGTGCTGACACAGAGTGGTAAAATTGCAGAATTAGTAGTAGGAAGTGGGCATTATTATGTTGATATATAACGTTAGTGGGAGACACAGATATGTTATAATATTTATTATATATCCGTGGTGGGAGTACAGTGGACGCTGCAGTACAAGTCCGCTCATAGCGTGTTCTCAAAGAGCTTCCAATATATATTTTCAAGGAGAATAAAACATTTTTAACCAAGTTTCAATATTACATGTCAAAGATAAGATAGTAAGATAATAAGGATCATTAGTTGAGAAACGTTCAAACATACTGAAATGTACTATTCATTACATTGTATGTGCGAAAACCGCGCATTTGCTCATTTGAATATAAATTGTTATAATATTATAGTGTTTTTGTGATATTTGAAAAAGAAAAAGCTCATCAAGATATTTTTTCTAGACATAAACGAAATAGCCACAAAGTAAAAAATACACAAGTTAAAATATTGCATTCTTATTTACAATAAAAATATATATCTGTATTACAAAAAAATTATCAATATCTAAGATATGACTTTTAAAAATAACTATAATAATACTTAGTATGTAGTTAAATAATTAATGTTTATTGAACCCGTAAAGAAGACGTTTCTTATTCTGTCGTGTAACCTTTTGAAGAAAAATCGACGGTCATTCACCTCAGCTTGAGTCACTTAGATTTCAGCATTCTCCTCTAAATCGCAGTGCAAAAAATCATGTTTTTAAAAAGTTGCCGGTTAATAAATTATTACAGTTTAAATTGTGTGCATTACTATTTTTTCAATAAATTATAATTTATTGAAATTTTTTAAATTAATTATGCCAGCTTATTTTTTATGTGTTCACATTAGGAATGAAATTTCCAAATAAAAGAACATTTCACAGATTAAATTTTTAAATAACTATTTTTAGTAAATTCCCAAAAATATATATTTTTTTATGAATCACATCCAATAACAAAAATATTGTGTTATTAGTATTCTATATAATTATACAAAATATTATTGTAACTTTTTAGCTTCATGCGAAGCTTAGAAGGTATTATTATACTATGGTGTTTTTTTTTTGTCTGTTACCACTTTTTCTCAGCTCTCACCGAATCGATTTGTTTCAACGATACGTCAAAAGATCACAAATCGTATTTAGTCGAATACATTACCTGCAAAAATCTTAAAAATTTCCCTCGTTCCCCGTAAATGAGGGAAACCTCTAAAAAAATTACAAATTTAAAAATCGCAAATTTTTTTTAATTTTTTTACTTGAAACTGCCAAAACTTTTAAAAATGACCAAATCAATATAATTTTTTTTTTATAGATGCATGATGTCTTTACCTACCATTTGGTATATTTTTTTATAAATCTAACACTTAACCTGCCCACAGGGGGGGGATTTAAAATGGTAATATTGACACTTTTATATATATCTTAAACTTAAGTTTATGTAATATATTTTAATATAAAAAAAATTTCCGACTTTATTTTGTTTTCACAAAATTCGTGAAAACGAACATTTAAGTTAATTAATTAAGGTAATTTTTTTAAGGCTATTTATATTACAAGAACAAGAATGCTGCTATTTAGCTAATGAACTTAGAAAGAGACACATATATTATTTTTTAAACAAAAAATTGAAAGTAAAGCTTGCAATACAGTTACTTAGTCAGTCGGTTGCTAATGATCTTAGATTTTGTAAATACAATTTAAATACTATGTATTCCCATCAGAGATAAATGTTATGTAATGAGTAATTTTTCCAAACAAATAATTATTTATATTGCTGGATTTGTAGTTAATAAACTAAGTTCAATAATTATGTGTCTTTGTGTTTCTGCACTTTTCTTCTAATTAAGAAGACTTTTTACAATCTATTATTAGTTGAAAAAATAGGAATGGTAAAAAGGTGGTTTATGTTACCCAAGTTATGTTCTAATTGAATTATTACGCACTATTAATTATCTACACTATTGGAAAATTGTTATTGTTAATGTAATTTGCAACCATATATTCGTTGAATTTTATATAATATTTACTGAATAAATTGATTCAAATTAAATGAATATTAATAATAAATATGCATTATTTCTTTCAATCATATGAATAAATATTATTTAGTTAATATTTGCTTTAAATAAAAATAATGCTTCATTTTTCATTATTAATCAAAACTATTATCAGTTAATATGTTCTTTCTGGACAGCTATCTAGCGGTGAACGCTAACATCAAAGTGACTTTGAAGGGGGTTGAATGATCATTGATTTTTCTTCAGTAGATCATTTATATTCATGATTAAACCATAAATTATTATCAGTATTTGTGTAATCGTAAGTGACACATATGATAAAAAGTAATATTAATAATAACTCGTTTATAAAACATTATGAAACAACATACAAATTAATATAAGCGTGTTAAAAATGACTACTATATGTTAAACAGCCAATTATTATTAGTAAATTATTAAGAAATCGCGAAGCTTTAAAATCAATAACATATAAGGTTCATAAAATAATAAATATAAGAATAAAACTGGGTGAATTTTTTTTTCTATCATATAATTAATTTTGTTATAAATAATAAAAATCATCATCATGAAAATATATCATCTGGTAAATTAATTGTTTATATACATAGAAGTTATGAAAAATATATCATAGATACTATTATAATATTATTTTAATGGTTTATAATAATATATTATATTATTAAAGTTATCCGTTACAGGTTATGACACAGTTTATAAATAAAAATCGACAACATTGAAAGGTACTATCTGCATTGGCTGCTGTATATTAATCGGCATCAATGTAGATAGTAGTATTATAAGTATATGTTTGAATATTACAGATCCAAATTTGTTTATATATGACATGCGTTACAGTGACTCTATGATTAATAGTCAATTAATTCAAAAATTCACCTAATGTTATTTCAAATACATGATTCAGAATTAAAACAATTTGTATTGGCTTATCTCATCGATATAATTGATGAATGATCGAATTACATTAAAATCAAATCCATTGAAAAATGATTTAATAAAAATAATAAATTCTTTCGTATTCTCAATACTAAATACTTCAACTGTTGTAGTTGAGTTGAGGTCGTGCTTTATTAAACGTCGTTGATCATTTTTATTTATCGTAAACTGCTCATTCCCATTTAAAATTAAACGTGTATTGGCATTACATTGTAAATCTATACAAAGTACCTCTAAAAATTTATTTAATTGATCAAATAATGTTATTATAAAAGTATTGAGACTATTTAAGTCAACTGACTTTCCAATCCTAGGAAAACCTCGAACAAAGTCCTCAATGTTTGATTTAATGGTAGAAATGTATGAAACATTACCGGGATGTAAGAGACTTACAAATTCTTCAAGTATTTCTAACCATTGTATAGTAAAATCTTCAATACACTCAACATTTTGTTTCTTCAAATACATAAAATGCTTAAGGGTCAACCTCAACATGATAATTTGTAAGAAATCAAAAATAGATGTATAGTACACTTTGAATGGTAATAAATGGTCTTCATTCCAAGTAAGTTTATGAGGTTTATGGTAGTAATTATAAAGTTTTGTGCCAGTTTTTCCAAAATATACTTGGATGTTATACGTATTTTTCAGATTTCGAAATACTTCCGAATCTACTCCTAATTTTCTCAAAAGTATATTGTCTTTATTAAACATGTCTAATTTATACAATTTAAAATTAGTATAATTATGATTATAGTCGATCAAGTTTTCCATTGAATTACAATTGATACTAATCATTCGAAAATGACCATACAATTTAAGAGAATTTTCAAAATCCTTATCGTATTTATTGTAATAAACACTTTCCTTTGAACAATTATTATTAATGATATCTTGAATATACTTACTTACAATATAATCACAGGTTTTTAATATGTCTTCATGTGTTGAGGAATTCATTGTCACTTGAGGTATCTTAGGATGTTTTATATAAACACCAACAATATTCGTAAAAACATTTAATAACCACAAAGGACCAATTTCGATACCTTTAATGGCATATATTGAACTTAGTTGTTTACTAACAATTTTTGAATATTTAGTTGAATTGTAGACAGCTTCAACCAAGTCCTTGTCATTTGTGCAGTTTTTTATATTTAATATAACTAGTGTCAGATGATACAATCCACTGAATAAGTATGAACATTTTAAATATCGAAAACTGTCAACGGGTTCTACATAATAATTGTAACCAGTTTTTAGTTTATTAGCACATTTAGTTAAACTAATAAAGAATAAAAGAATTAAAACGATCTTAAAAAATATTTTAAATGCCATTATTAAATAATCTACAGGAAAATAACTATTTTGATAAATAATAATATAAACTATAGACTCAACCTCGATGACTATGTTTAAAATACAACTTGTAATTTAATATAACAAGTAAGACATTTGATATGTAAATGATCTGTTTTATGAAAATAGTTTTATATTAATATAATAACTATATTCTCGTTTTTACTGATGTATCATTCAAATGTTTTTTAACAAGGTCGCCGTTTTATATAAATACATAACAGTAAAACAAGGCAGAATACTGAAACGACAAATTAAAAAATGTACTATAAAATGTAAACTTTAATGATCATTAACTACACATGTTAACAACATTTATTTTTAATTTTTTTTTAATAACTTTTTACTGTTTCAATAAAATAATTTCTTGAGAATTTATTTATTATAAAACAATTGTATGAATAATACTTACTTAAAACTATGCAAAATATTTTTTTAATTAAGAAAAATAAAATGGCTAAAGGACAATATATTTTTGTGTCCCTGGGTGCTAAAATAAACGTGTAATTTTTTTAACAACTATATTAGATCTACCAATATAAAATTAATTTTTTTAAAGCGATTAATTTAGAAATCGATTTGTTGTGAACTCATTGTTCACCTCTGAATACACAGTGTTGAGGATTTCAAAAGTTGTAAGAAAAAAAAAACCCAGCACAGGAGGGTCGCGGCACAGTGG